TCTTTAAATATAAAGGCATACACCACGTAAATACGTAAAAAGGCCATAAATTGGAATTAATTTTACAACATCTTTCTAACTTTTACAACCAAAGCATACCACATTTCTTAAATAGGCAGATTTACTCTTTTTAAATGTGTTTATTTAAGCAATATTTGGGCAGTTAACAACAGTTCAGCATATGGGTGAAGGTAAAAGCCGCCGCTGTGCTAATTGCAGACGTAATCTAAATTTACAGTTTTAACTGTTTACATAACTTACAAGGCCAACAAATCAGCGTGAATAATATGGACTAAGGTTTCTTACATAATTATCTACACTTTCAAACAATTTCAGACTTTTTACCCTTACATACAGCTTTTCAACTTAACTTCTTTTAAGCCGCTTTAAGTCATCGCTATCGGTCCGTTCGAACGCTTTGATATTGCGTTTTTGCATTTGTTTATGGAAAATTCACACGTAGTACAGCGTCCCGCACTGAGTTAGTTGCCGGAAAACTCAAAAGCCGTAGAGAATCCGCTTTTTCATTTTCTTCGGCCTCGCAACTTGTTGTTTTGCCTCTGGCTGCTTTGCTTCTTCATTAACATGCGCTGTAATGTAATGTGATCTCGACATGACAGCATTCGCGGTGCGAACAGACGCTTCATCTGAAAGCACAAGCGCGCAACACTGTTGTAGGGGGAGTATGCGTATATGTACATATGTGTTTGTGGATATGAAGGTTTTGCACATGTCGCGCAATATTGTTCACACACTCGCAGCCCAACTGCTATTAGTATAAAAATGCACAAAGCTACCTCTCACGCCATCGTTTCAACTCGACTTGGTTGAAGTTGTTGAGCTGCGCACGTGAGGGGTGAGCTGCTCTCACGCCACTATTCCTATTCTTCTCTGCACCAGCTTTTGTCGGCGCCTTGCACCGACTCGATCAACGTGCGTTCGGCTTGCGGCGTCATCGGCAGCTGTTTAATACTCACTTCATTCAGCAACCAGAGTCAATTGTCTGCCTTCGCTGTTGTCAAAGTGCAAAATGCACAATTTCATGCAATTTTTACGTCGCTGACTTTTTTTTCTTGTCGATGACTTTATAGCTTCCAATTTTATTCATGCAAAATATGTATGCACACAAAGCAGAGCTATCAACAGTTAAATTTACTGACCCGTTATGGAAATTGCACTCATTTTACATTTACACATTTGGTTTGATAGAATATATACACTTATGTTAAGTAAATCAACAATAAACTTAAAAACTGCTTTATGGAATTATATTCCAAAAGGGTAGACTGGAGATCTGCAGCTTCAGTAATTTTTACTTTGGTTGTGGATTTTTTCTTGTGCGTGGCAGTTCCATTCAATCTTAGACTAGTGGCACCTACAATCACGATTTAAAAAATTCACTACGTCTTATAGCATCTACTTTTCTCGATGAAAATGTTCACTCATTATACATATTGTACAAATGTGTCATTACACCTCTCAAAATTTTTTCTTTTTTTAAATGTTAAAAGAATAAAAAATGGCACCCTATTATAAATCAGCTGTAATGTGCATATTAAAAGTTAAATATTGAAATGGATTGCGAAGTGAATACGTCTGGTGTTAATCCCATCTTCAAGAGTATACAATGTAGTAGTCAGTAGTTAGTGTACAAAAAATATTTATTAAATATGTTTTTGTTTCAGTGTGTACGGATAGTGAGGAAAACAGCAGTGCTAAGAAAAAACAAACTTGGGATAAAAACCACCATACTTTTGGTGCCAAGACGCAGAGAATTTAGTTCGAAGAATAAGCATAGAATCATAACATCAATAGATGATTCATCTGAACCAGAACTTCCGAGCAGCCAAGCTGCTGTAATTAAAATTACGTCAACACCCAGCCAAAAACCAAACCAAAGGACATTGAAAAACAGAAATTGAGACAGGAGACGCTTCTTAAAATTGATTTACCGATATTTTCGGTTAAAAATTAGGTTAGGTTAGGCACTGAATTCTTCGTGTTCGATATCAGGGCCCTTGAAAAGTTATAGTCGATCACCACAGTTTTTCCACAAGGGATACCTCAGCTCAAATACCGTATTTGTGTAAAGTTTTATTCCGCTATCATCATTGGTTGCTAATGTGTATATTTTACAGAGAAGGCATCAGATGGAATTCAAAATAGCGTTATATTGGAAGAAGGCGTGGTTGTGAACCGATTTCACCCATATTTCGAACATGTCATCAGGGTGCTAAGAAAATATTATATACCGAATTTTGGTCCATAAGTGGGCGACGCCACGTCCATATTCAATTTAAAAAAAAGCCTGGGTGCATCTTCCTTCTGCTATTTCTTCCGTAAAATTTAGTGTTTCTGACGTCTTTTGTTGGTCGGTTAACGCACTTTAAGTGATTTTCAACATAACATTTGTACGGGAGGTGCGCGTGGTTATTACCCGATTTCTTCCATTTTTGAACTGTACATGGAAATGCCTGAAAGAAATGACTCTACAGAGTTTGGTTGACATAGCTATAGTAACTTCCGAGATATGTACAAACAACTTAGTAGGGGGCGGGGCTACGCCCACTTTTCCAAAAAAATTACGTCCAAACATGCCCCTCCCTAATGCGATCCTTTGTGCTAAATTTCACTTTAATATGGCTTAGTTATGACACTTTATAAGTTTTCGGTTTTCGCCATTTTGTGGGCCAATTCGAACTTAACCTTCTTATGGAGCCAAGAAATACGTGTACCAGGTTTCATCATGATATCTCAATTTTACTCAAGTTACAACTTGCACGGCCGGACAGACAGACATCCGGATTTCAACTCTACTCGTCACCCTGATCACTTTGGTATATATAACCCTATATCTGACTCTTTTAGTTTTAGGACTTACAAACAACCGTTATGTGAACAAAACTATAATACTCTCTTTAGCAACTTTGTTGCGAGAGTATAAAAAAAGAGACGAACAAAAGGCGTCATAATGAGAAAATACACCTGCTAAATAATATACAATTAATGATTATGACTATGATGGAAAGGCATTCGGACTTGTATATCTGGCTTTAGTTTAAAATATTTATTTATTATTTTTATGTCCATATTTAGATAAAAGGAAGACTGAAAAAATTAATACATTATGAAGAATTAAGAATCCACTGTAGTACCTTATTTTCTTATACCGAGATACCATAGCTATTAAGAAAAACCTGAAAAACCTAATTTAATAATTAAATTTCTTGAATTTTCTGTGTTGAGATAATTGATAATTTTTATGTAAATAAATAAATTAAAATAAAGTAAATTTTCGCTTCTTTGAGTGGTGGTTTTTGACATCGTTTCGCTCAAACTCACCTAATTGTGAAAGTTAATAATCTCATCGCATATGTCGCTATAGGCAAACAAGTCGTTCCTTTCGACACAAAAATTGTGAAGAACACAACATTCTGAAAACAAATTGCGACTGAACATTGTGACAACACGTTATAAGAGTATACAAATTCATGGGGCAACTGTTACTCTTACTTTTGAGAGGGTAGAAAAAAATCAATCATATATAATAATATAAATGTGGTACAAAGCGATAAGTACTTTATCTACACTACCAAAACTATTCGAAGTCCATTTAAAATAGCTTGTCAAGGAGGCTTCACCCCATTCATATATTATATATAATGGCTAGACTACTGTACATCTCAACTAAATAATATTAAGTATTAAAAGTTCAGGGCCTCACCAAAATTTCGCCATCTCTCACCTTAACGTTGGGGACTTTGCGCTTTATTTGCGTTATCTTCATAACGTTGCCGGCATATTTTGCTGTTGTATAGAACATCCGGGGCACATTCCGATCGTTATGCTACTCTTGGTTCGCATATCATAATGTTAAAGTACATATGTACATAGGTTGTCAATTTTCGGATTTCGTATAAAATACATATTGGCATGTAAGTAAGTATAAACTGAGCAGGCATGTGTTCTACATACAATATGCCGTTAAAATTTGAAATCGTAAAAATTTTAAAACATAATACAATTACAATGGCAGCCCTTTAATGTGGAACTCCAAACTTTGGTCTCCACTTCATTACATATGCATTATAAATATTCAGGTAAGCATATTCCGTTAAAACCAATATTCTTTATACAGCTTGAAATTAAAAAAAAAAAAATAATAATATTTTATATGTAAATACATGTATTTATTTGTTTTGGGGAGATTTGCATATTTTCGGCTTCTTCATTTTGTTCTTTTTCAATACGTTTAATGGTCAGGTACTATAAGCTTTCCCTAAATATACATAATTTCGATAACGTTCCATGGATTAGCTTAGCAAAACATAAACTTAATTTTTTTTTTGAGTGGTGAGAAATAATCGCCAGAAATCTTAAAAAAGAAATACTATTTTGAATAAAATAAAAAATAAGATGAAATCCGGTAGCGTCATCTTTATTTATCATTAACGAAAAATGCAATGTATGTATAAAATTCAGTGTTAAAATCAATATGTATGACTATGGAGTATCATTAGTTAATATAAAATATTTACTACCAAGATAGAACTATTGCATAGTCCTTGAAATTGGATAACATAATAGTAAGTAGAATCATTGATTGCATACGTATGTTAAACTTAAATTCATAGATCTATAAATGGCAGAAAAATGCTTCTAAAACTGTTAAAACGCAAAATTTCTCACTTGCAAAGTCGAAACTCTGATCTTTTCTGACGTCCAAACCTTTTAGAGAAGGATCAAAGGCTCGTCATAAATCGATTTGGCATTTTAAGATTAATATCCACACAACTAATTCCCAGCGTATGGTATTCAAGACAGTCGAATTCATTATTATTTCCAACTAATTTTCCCGCGCTTCTGTAAATTTAAAATAAATTCCTTTTTATATAGTCTTAATAACATAATTTTATTTATTTATATCAACATTATGTTCATACATTATATTTTATTTAACATTTTTAACTATAATATTTAATACATAACTATGACTGGTTTTTATCCACATTTCTTTTAAAGCAAAGTAAACTGGTGTGAATATGGATCGCTGAAGTAGTTGAAGGCGGTGTACGAATCGGCCGGCACTCGATAAGCAGTGGTATAATAAGTCTCGCCGGAATCTGGAAAAAATGTGTAAATTATCAATTACTATTATGAAAGAAAAGACTTAATTTCAATTGTCAATTAAGCCAAGTAAAGGAATGTATAATTAATTGATTTGCTAGGTTATTGATAAGTATAATATATATTATGTGGATAGTTTAGAAATTATTGCATACTTGTAAGATTAAATTCTACAAGTATTAAGCAACTGGTTTATTTATACCAGCTAATAATGATAAATACAAAACAACGTAAAAAAATATTTTCTTGTCATGAATACTCTTAATCCAGTGTAATCAGTATTATATTTCCACTTGCTTAATGCATTATTGTAGTTAAACATCTGTTCGATATTTTGCACTCTCGTATACGAAATTGCTTAGTCATTGCCTGGCAACAGGTGAAGTAGCACGGCACAAATGTTGGATTGTCTGTAGGTGGGTGTAACGCTCTTAATAGATTTTTGCTCTTACCAACGGGTTAATTATACAACAGCTGTGTTTTAATCGTTTAAGATGTAGAAACCAGCAACTATTAAACCCTTTATGCCTCATCTCAGATAATTAGACATGACTTGCTGCCATCTATGCAAATAAAATTGACGCAAACTGTGCATATATTAAAGGGCATTACTTAAACAGGTTTTGGAGATTGAGTAAATTTATTGATTACTTCTTGATCCATCTCATACATTGTTTTTAATTAGCAATAAGTAATTGTATTAGGGATATTACCTGCCTTTCTCTACTATAATTTTAATTATCTTTAATTGCAATTTTCTAAACTGATTAATTACATAACCTTGAAAATATTAATCGTTAATATTACTAGCAATCTATTCTGAAGAGATGTATGAATATTTTATTTGACAGCTTTTTACTTAATAATTACTAAGATCGAACAGTACACAAGGAGAAGACTTTGCGTCTTTATAGTTCAAAGAAAATCCAATTAAAGTCCTATTCAAAATTTAATTAGTGATTAAGTAAGCCAACATTACACACCTTTACTATTCTACACTCCCATATTAATTCTTGAGGCATTGTATCATCTACGTGTAACGACGTAAGTACTGCGTAACGTGAAAGTGCATTCAGGATTTTTTTTACTTTCTATTTTTTGTAGCATAAGCAATAGCAATAATTATAATAAAAGGTTTATTCATAGATCATTTCTTAATTTAGTTGAAATACTCATTTCAATGACACAATTTCTTTTTTTTTAATTCTAAGTACTTTTAATTTCAAAAACTGTATTCTCTGGCTATTAAATAATTTTTCATCGCTATCAGTATGTAATCTATTTTAGCAATCGATTCTATAAAACACCACAATTACGGGGTTAAGCCCAGCGCCCACAAGAGTGCTTAACTTTAATCAAATATCTTCTTAAAATGATGAAAATGGAATTGAATTCCTCCCTTGCATGCTTTAATAAACCTGGTATATTATTTGAGTAAATAATGGCTATACGATAAATCAAAATTTTAAAGGAAATTTTCCAAAAATTATGTAAGGAAGGGCTAAGCTCGGGTAAACCGAACATTTCCTACTCTTGCAACTTGCAAGGATTACATCCGGGGTAATACCTTCACGTATATAAGGCTTGTTAGCTATATGAGGTCTAGGGCAAGTTTTGAACGTATTTTATTCAATCTAAGCACAATATGTACCGTTACTAGAAAAACACGCTCTGCCAATTTTATTAAGGTAACTCACATATGGCCAATAAATGCGGTTTAAAGTCACCCGAAAATCTTTATATTAGGTATGCTTCCTTATTGTACCATTTGAACCCACTTGTAACTCAGAGACATATTACTAACAGGAAAGGATTCTCTCCAAATTTCAATTATATATGCCACGCATGGACCGACATTTTTGGTAAAAAGTTAACGGGATCCCCATATTCGGATCGATTAAGACAATTTTTGGTCATAAGGTGAAATAATTTAAATGCACTTTTTGTTCAAAGTTTTATTTCGTTATATTTATTAATGTTATATTAATTGCTTCTTGATTTGTACACTGAAGTGTTAAAGAATCAAATAAATTTAAAATTGTGTTATATGGGAACTATCCCGTTTTCACAATGTAACATAGGCATATCATAAGAATGTTAAATACTGAGTTTGGTTGAAATCCTGAGGTATGCCCTCTCATACCATCTCGTGGATAAAATTGAATGTCTCGGATGTATTTAGTTATTGATTTATAGCGCTTTTAGTAGTTGTTTAACATTCCGTTATATAAGGAGTGGGCGCCCACTGTTTCAAAAAATTTTGTTCACAAGTGACCCATTCTACTGCATCAGTAACAGTTCTGTATCTAGATTAAGTTCTTAGGTATGGTTTGTGTTTAATGGTGTTTAGTGAGCATGGCAGTAATCCGATTGCGCCTATGGTAAATATTGACCCGATTCAACTCATTTTTGACACACAGACATACTGTTATGAGGAAAGGATTATCAACTATAGGTACTACCAAAAGTTTTGGTAACAAAAGTTTTTGTAACGAGATGGAACACTTGAAAGGCTATTATTCATGTGAAGTTCCATCCCGTCATTTTAATTGGTGTTTTATTTGAATACTGAAGTGCGAAAGAATCAGATGAAATTTCAAATTGTGTTATTTAGTAGGTGGGGTTATAGCCCGATTTCACTCATTTTCGCTCTGTAACATAGGAATATCAGAAGAATGTACATATAACATTCCGAAAGTCGAGTAGATCTTACAATATGAATTTCCACCTAAGCGTTGGCGGTGCCAGGCCCATCTCCAAATTATATACTGACTCTTATAAAGCTTTTTTGTCACATCTCGAGTGTAAAAGTTAAAGTCTCTGACGAATTTAGTTATTGATTTATCGCACTTTTAGTAGTTTTTAGGAAAATCGTTATATAAGGTATAGCCAGTTATTTCGTCTATTTCTACACTGTTGTAAGTTATATGTAAATTCAGGTATTATAGCTTAATTTGTTTGGAAGATGTACACCACAAACTTCTTACGACGCGGCCAAGCCCTTTTCAAATATTTTCAAACCAAAGATGTATCTTCTTAATGTGATTTGTTGTACAAAATACAGCTCTTTATCTTAATTTAAGGCTTAATTATGGCACCTTATACGTTTTCGAATAATGACGTTTTTTGTAGTGGCAGTGTTCCAATTACACTCAACTACAAACCTCTTACGGTGCCAGGGAACATGTATACCAAGATTCATTGAGGCATCTAAATTTTTACTAAAGTTATAACTTGCACAGACGGACGGACATATGGACGTACAGGCAGACAGCCACTTGGATTTTAACTCGTTTCGTCATCCTGACCATTTATATATATGGCAGATAGATATGAGGCCTGCCACTTTGGGCTTAATTAGCGCAGAATGCGACATTTTGATGTACTATCCTCGGACTTATATACACTTGCTATCTTGTTTAATCTTTTCGCTCAAACCACTTTGTGATTTCAATGAAAATACTTATGGCTTTTTGGGGACAGATATTCAAGGTTTGGTGCCTGATGCGTTCCAAGTTTTCTGTGTTAAGCTGGACACTTACAGAGAAGGTGTTCACTTCTATTGTTCATTGTTCAACTGTTGTTAAGATGTCTTATCAAAATCAAATAACCCTATTAATATTTGGTAATTTTTAAATTTTTCTGTATAATATGAAATTACGTAGTTTTCAAAATATTATATTTTAGTGTTGAGTTTGACGCGTATTGGTTTTTTGATAATTTTTTTCCTCATGTGCCCAATATATTAAATTTAGTCTCTTTGGATGAGTTTACAATAATAACATATATCTTACTTGAGTTAACCAGGATGATAATAAAATAAATATTTTGCACAAAAAGCAAAATGTATTTATGAATCTACGAGGGTATACGAAAATGTGGACCTCAGGGCTGACTTTTTGCCGAGAATATCGGTACATCTGTGATGTACCTTAAGTAAAGACAGGGAGCAACGTTTTCTGGAAATAATATGTTATGTTATCAAATATGGAAAATATCAGTTCCATAATACACAAATTTACAAATATTTACTTAACTTTATAAGTTACATTGTCAATAAGTAAGATAAGATATCAAAATTAAGTCAACGTAAAGTATTGGAGATTGATTTAAAACGTTTATATATAATATAATGATTTTCTTTTCGTTTGTTGATTTTCTCTTCATATACATATACTATATATTAGCATATTAGATTTGAGCTTTGCTTGAGCTTATCGTCACCTGAAATTCCGAATAACGTAACAACATTTTCGGAAATTTACAGTGGCATGAATGAAACACGAAATAAAATGGAACATGAGTGAAAAAAAAAATTTAATATTGGTTAAAACTGGTTTATATCTGAGCGCAGAACCTGAAAATGTTGAACATATGCAATATTATGTATGTAATTTACAGTAGCAATCAATAAGACACTCAATTAAAAATTTTTTGATGATACGTTATTTTGCATTTCAGGTGACGATATATAGAATCTCATTTCTGATAACTATGTTGATTTTAGTACCAATATTTTAATAAATCTATGGTCTATAATATAAGTTAAAGATTGCAACCTTTCTCTCCTCCGTCTTATAATGAATAATTTTATAGGTGACCCAAATTTTTTATTAGACACACAGCAAGACAATGAACATTTCACGAAAGATTTGAATTGCTTAAGCCAACTCTCGAAATAGCTTCTGATTCTAATGAGTTACATTAATAACTTATGAAATGAGAATTCAACTTCCAATTGGATCGACTTTTATTAACCCATGAAGAAACGACAAACGAACTCTAAAAGTCGAAACTCTTCAACCGCACCTCCACTTAAGAAATAATATTGATTTATTATTTGGCTAACATGAACGGAAGGTTGTCATATTAAAAGAACAAAATCGCTTAAGTAATTTATGAGATTTCATTCGACTAAGCATTCGGTGGCCAGCCACCAGATGTCTTTCCACTATTTATTGGCACTTAAAATCTTCAACAACACCCACTACTTACA